CCATCCCCCAAACACGAACCCCAACCAGTAACACTACATCCCCCAAACCCGAACCCCAAACAGTAACACTCCATCCCCCAAACCTGAACCCCAAACAGTAACACTCCATCCCCCTAACACGAACCCCAACCAGTAACACTCCAAACCTGGTTATTAAACCCAACCCCAAACCAAGCCAAGTCAACCTATACCAAAAATCCAAACCAACCTCAGTTGCAACTTACTCAGTGGCTTCCATCAGTGTGTCTCTCATAAAGAATCCTGTCCACTGTTCTGACCTTCTACCCATGATCCATTGCAGGAACCCCAGGAATCCGCTGTCAGGGCTGTGGCGCGCATTCATTGTCATGGTCAACACACCCTTTAAAAGGAATCATATTTTATATCAGATATGTCAATAACCTCAACCTTGTGTCCTTGTAACACACTAAAAGATCATAATAATTCACTTGGTCCTTTATACCTGTAATGGTGTCCAAATTTATGTTGTTCATAAATTTGAGTGAAATGCATTCCTCATTGGATATTACACTCAAGTACTGAATGCTATAAGCAGTGCGACAGTGACCAGCACATGCATGCTACCCTAAGGTTCAGAAATCCATATGGGTGGAAACACACTCAAGCATTGCAATGATTTCTGTGTGGGAGATAAGTGCAGTTGTGACTGATAAAGAAAGTGTCCTTGTGTACTTCCAACACTCCCAAGCTTAAGCCCCATACAACATGCTCCACCACCATATGTGGTATGTATATATATATATTGACGTTAAATGGTATTCCCGGTATAGGGGGGGGACAGGTTACTACCCCCAGCCCCATACAGGGAATACGGTTTAACATTACCACGTAAGCCTCTTCTGTGTCAAACTCTATAGCACAGCTAAGCAGAAGAATTGACAAATCAGGATCCCTGTTATTTCCTGATGCATCATAATCAAAAGTAAATTAACAGGCCAAATGTCGTCACAGAAACTTTTCACAGAGCCATGATGGTTCAGACAGAAACTTTCCACAAAGCCATAATGGTTCAGACAGAAACTTTTCACAAAGCCATGATGGTTCAGACAGAAACTTTCCGCAAAGCCATGATGGTTCAGACAGAAACTTTCCGCAGAGCCATGATGGTTCAGACAGAAACTTTCCACAGAGCCATGATGGTTCAGACAGAAACTTTCCACAGAGCCATGATGGTTCAGACAGGGCTCCTGATTAATTTAATGAGAACATCACTGCTCTGTCAAACCTTTGCAAATGCACTGAAAATTAATTTCATAGAAAGAATAGTTTCTCTTCCCCATGCTACAACACTTTTAAGTGCACTCATTCATGTTATTTTGTGGAGAGAAACATGATCAGGTTTTGTGCAGGAAAAATTGTTTGGTGGTGGGGAAGAAATGGATGAACGGTAAGTCCTGCAACATTGACTTAACCATTGGAGTAGGTGGGAGCTGAACATTTTGGGCAAAGATATACTTTGCCAGTGACAGGGCATTGTGACATACTTGCCAACTATGCACTAGGAATTAATGTTCTGCTATTTTAAAAATAAGGTCCAGTGATGTTTTATGCAGAGGAATGTTAATAGGGAGTTGTGGTAAGTTTATGCAAGGGCATAGCAGAGAACGTCCAGTAGGAATATGACTTTAGAAAAGGAGAGAGTCATAGTTAGAAAGTGGCTGAAAAGAAGCACATGCAACAATTTTCCTCAATTTGACAAAACAACATGAAGCGTAAAACTGATGGGTGTTTATTATGATCATGTCTCGGCCTTACTGGTTTAACTCCAGTGATAACTCCAATGTAACCAGCAAAGTGAACAGCCTTGGCAACCGTTTTCCCTCCTTGTTGGTAGTCCACATTCACAAGCAGGGGTTTCAGGCTCTCTGTCACCGCCCACTGTTTACTCTTAACATCCCACCTGCATGCCAACAGTGAGTGAATGAATCACAGAATTGTCATGTACCGTTAGTAGCAAAATGTGCTAAACTTTAGGCCCAGTTCTGATTCAGTAGCTGTCCATATCCCATTTATTAACCACAGAAGGGTTCCATTTATGAATATCAGTTGTGTCTTAATGACAGTATTTCATATGGCTTATCATAGTAGTCAATTCAATGCTCAAACTCCCACTTAAGGGATAAGATCAAAATGACTTTGAGTTAGTTGTAAAGTGGAGACTGCAGATATTCACAGCTCAAGAGCATCATCGCAGGGTAAAATCTGATTTCACTGAGCAATCTTAACGTGAAGGGTTTTGAAGGGTACTGCGTTATTTTCAGTTGATGGTCAGATCATTCGCGAAGCACGATCTGTCGTACAATTTTTTTTATTTTGTCGTCATGTTTCATTTCTGTCTTTCAAAGACCTCAGACATGTCAGATGTGCATTTAGTTTGTATATACATATAACCTTCAGGCTCTTGCTAGCAATATTATGTAACACACTCACCCAAGAAAGATCCCAAAGTCCATGTTTCTTGCATGGTACAGGGTTCCTTTGAAGAGAATCATCCACATACATGTAACATTCTATTACTTCTAACTTCTCCAATGAGAAAATAAAAATTATTAAGGCAGATTATTCATCCAACTTATTCACATCAAATACACTCTTGCATCAAAAACTCACTAATTCTTGCATCTTGTCTCTTTAGTTTTCTCAATTTGTTTGGAAGAAAAAGGTTTAAACAAAAAAAGACATTTACACAATGTGAAATATTTTCCTTACCATTGGAATTTTCAGCCACAATTGATGTGCAGAATGGATTCACTTCATAAAAAATATTGTACAGAACAATCTGACCTGGAATTACAAGAGGAAACAAAATAACAAACAAACAAGGTGCCCATCAGCCTAATAATAGAACTTAATGCGGTTTAACGGCTACTGCCGAGAACAGGAAAACAGTGCTGATCTGATCTTTTGGACTAGCTGATAAACTGGGATAAAAAATGTTAAGGGTCTAAAAATATCAATGCCTATACAAAACAAGCGACAAAAAATATATTGTATGCCCTTGTGTGCACACTAGCAATAGTTACGTAACATACGGTGACATCTGAAAATGGTATTGTTGGACAAGTCAAACACGAGTGTAGATGTAATTATAAACATACATGTACATGTACGTCAAGGTATGCCTTTTAACACTCACTTTGAAGTTAAGTCAACAATCACTGCGACCGAACTCCCTCTACTTTACATTTCAGCATGGATACCAAACTATTAGCACTGAGAAATATTGTGAACTTTATACAATTCTCGAAAGGCAGGCTTAAAATGAAATTTGAGGTAAGTTATCTATTACCTAGAGGTATGCCAGTCGACTCAGCAATTCCTAAAATCTCATCTTGATACGGCTGAGGAAGGGTGAATGCCAAGGGAGCCTGAGATATAAAATCAGAACAATTTCAATCCACAATATGCAGAATTCACTACACAGTGCAACCACATGAATAATATGCTGTTAGACATAAACACGATGGGGCATCAGCCAAGGAGACGGGTTAATTGGTTCGCAAAATTGTTCATGTTGAAGTCTATGGGTAGTCAATGCACCGCAATGAGCATCGCATACAGGCAAACCACCAGTGCTTACAAACACACATGTATTGGGTGCACAAACACAGCAGTGAAGTACATGTATTTTGTTCACATTTGGTTGATTCTGAATCCCTCTTTAGCTCGGCCGCCTCCATCAGCACTTCATGTCACAATTGGCTCACTATGCAGACCTCCCCTCTTGACTAAATATGTTTCTGTTTATCTTTTTTTATTTATGAATGAATTCCATGGCACTGACAACTTTATGACTCTGACGACCAGAGCAAATACCAATGCATGATCACCATGCTGTGTGTATTACAAAACGATGTGAGCTACATGTGCAGTGCAGGCTTCCTGTGCAGGCCAACCATGAAATGCACACTATGTATATACACATGCCGTACATGATGTTTACTGTACATGCCACTAAATAATTTAAGCAAGGGAGGCCATTCCAAAATTCTGTATCTCTTAATGTTGAAAGGCTAGCCCTTGCGGCCCAGAATACACTCTCATGAAAAACAGGTGTCTTTATTCAGTGGTTGGCAGTGAAGTTACATGTATCTTTGCATTTGTTTTACAGTCACGGTTGCTATTTTTTAATCAAATTTGGTACATCAGTCAACAATGATAGACAAGAAAATTTTACATTTGTGTACTTTCATTTGTCCCCATTTTATCCATCATGTCTATCAAACCAGGTAGCAAGACTGTGTGATATCTTACCATTATGTCATCCAGAAGTTCAGTTACTTTGGTTTCATTGAAGAAAGCTCCCAACAGATCAATAAGATCATTTAACAGAGCCTTCACCTGAAATTACAAAAGAGATTTAGTCAAACCTTCCTCAGTGATCTCTCCATTTCATTGGGAGACTGGGAGAAGCTGGTGGCAGCAGTCATGTACAAGTTTCTCAGTACTGTGCATACTAAGAACTACATGTACATGTACACACAAAACACACGCATGCTCAGAACTGGTAAAATAACTGGTACAGTATGTTTGCTGCCACCAAGAATCTCAAAGTCTCCAATGATAGATAGATATTGAGAGAAAACTCTGCGATAAATTGCATCACATACATGTATTCTTCACCACTCCACTTTATACATACTTGTACCCATAAGTGAGGTCCTGTTGGTTCTGTTAAATACATCAGGATCATTTGAAGGGATTTTGTAAATGTATGCCAGAGGCAAAGATGTTTTTCCCCAAGGATGAGTGATCTGATTCGAACCAGCCAGCCGACACTGGCAAGCTCGGTGGTCGAGTGGTTAAGATGTCTGTACTAGAAAAAGCAGGAGGTCGTGGGTTTGAGTCCCACCTGAGTATGCTTGTGGTTCTTTTTCACAAGCCTTTGGCATACATTGAGTATACAGTGTCATAATACACGTCAGACAGGGCAAAAATCCACAATTAATAAGAACGGTTTTGTTTGAAGTATTCTGTTGACACAACATATGAAAACTAAACCCAATATAAAATACATCTTCAGAATATAATTACTTTGAGGGGGGCACAAGACAACATTTAGCTTTTTGTTTTAATATGTGACTGTCTTTGGCATTTTATAGTCAATTCTGACTCAAGTTTGGCATAATTGAGGCCTTTCCTCCCAAACGGACTTGCACATTTGTAACTCATTCTTCATCAAGTTAAGGGAAGGGTCACGCAGCAGCGGTGCACTTTCTTTGGTGCTGGTGGGCTGCACTTCCTTGAAATGAAGACCTTCCCTAACCTTAAATACCTTTCCTTTTCATCATTATCTGTTTTCTCGTTTGTTCGGATCAGGTAATTACTGCCTCCATTGCTCTTTACCTCAGCACTCTTATTCTTCACAAGTGGCCGCCAGCGCTCCTCTGGGCTTAGGTCAAGATTCAAGACAAAGGACGGCACTTTAGCCTTGGGATCCTCAGGAGGGTACTGCACATCTGTCCTGCACACTCTGTCTGTGTACTGTCGGAAAAATAGAACGACAAAAACACAAAACAATATGTTGTAAAATATAACCTTCATAACATGCATTCATAAAAAACCAACGATGCACACTTCATCAGGTGTAAATACTAACCCTCTATATTCTGCGAGTGTGAGGTACATGTACATGTAAATATCACATACAATCCAAGAAAAGTTAATGTGCATTACAATCAAATCTCATGTACACATGAGCAAGGGAGCAACATTACTACATTTTACTTCAAGGAAATTTTAATTTGAGGTGCCAATTCTGTTATTTACAGTTTTACATTGCTAATACAAGGTTCTGTTGATAACAAGGCACAGGTAATCCCAAAGTCCAAAAGACCTCTTACTGGCCGGTACGTGCATTAAAAGTTCCACAGATTATGACCATTGGTTTTCTTGAACACACACTGCTTTCAGTGGGCATGTGTAGATTGGGAACCAGATTGTGACAGAGGCACTGCACATGCAAACAATCTGCTATTCTTAATATTGATAATGGAAACTTTTACAGCTGCACAGAATTTGTTCATTTCTACGGAGAAGCCTTTTGAAATCTGTGTGTAAAATACCGGTGTAATGCAGTAAAATTATTCAGCTATACACCTGTCCTGAGGACAGGCAAAACCAAAATAGGGCAGGTAGTTTTGCATGCTATTCAAAATTACAAGCACTGTAAGCCATGCCATCTCCTCACCCCTTACACACTCTCGAGCACCAGTGACACAATATTCTGCCAACAAGGAAATGTTTGCGTCCCAGTCCTTTTTCTTCATTTTCCTTCCTGATAATACAGAGTTTCTGTTATGACACACCAGCACAAGGTTGTAGTTAAATACTTTTGCATGAGTATGAGTGCTCTCCCATGAGTAGGAGTATGAATACCTTGATAAGATTAACCTTAACACTCCTCAATCCTTCACCTGTTGGAGGACTGAGGAGTGTTAGGGTTAAAGGAAGAGAAAATTTTTGAGAGTATGGGTCATACATGTACATGTACTGTACAAGTACGAGTGAATTTTATGAGTACAAGTTCAGCAAAAGTATTTAAGTACTACGTGTACACGTACATGTACCACATCAACATGATGTACAAGCAGACGAGAGTGACTGTGACTGCACCACACAAGCAAGTAGAATGAACAACATGGGCATAGATGCAGAATGTATGCGTCAGTGGGCAGAGCATGGGTGTTGGAAAGTTTGGTTTTAACTACCCAGTGTACACAGGATTATCTGTTTACATTACCATTAACTCATTGTTTATACCATGAATGCGCTGCTGTAGCTCTTTATATTACATTTATCTATGGAGTTAAATCAACTGAGTGCTTACACATAACATGCCTCTATTTATAAGGCCAAATTGTCTCATTGCCCCAGTATGAGTACTTTTCCAAGAATATTCGTACGAATATTTTGGTATAGTACGAGTATGAGGAAATTTTTCTTGAGAGTACATCCGAGTATGAGTACATTTCCATGAATGTGAGTATAGAAAAGTACAGAAAAAACTACTCGAGTATGAGTATAAGAGTACAACAATTAACACTGATCTGTAAAATCTCTTATTGATGAAGTTTGACTGTATCAGCTACCTTGTATTAATTAAACAAGTCTTTCACTTTTCAGGTTCAAACAAAACATAACTCTGTTTTTCCTCTAGCTGACGCTAGGTACATACGGTATGTACAAGCATATGTACATGAACTTGAACTTTCAATCTCAAAAATACTGTGGAAGTTTCAAGGAACAATTTCCTGTGCCATACAGCTTACATGTACATGATGTGCTCATGGTGTAAGTAAGTCTGCTGCCAGGCTAAGCACGTTCTCAGTATTCCGTGCCTGTGTCCGATTGGCACTGTACTATATGTAGGCCTACCATATAAACATGTACATGTATGCAACATTCACCACTCGTGGTCCTTTTGATACATGTAACTCAATGCACCATAGAGGATATTCACAAATTTCTGGTTTTCCCACAATCCAGTCCATTTAATCATCCTCCCAAAAATATCACTGGGAAACTTAACACTGGCCATGTTGCCGATTCTGTGCTGATTGCTTTAAAATCGCACTAGTGCTGTGTACGTACTTCACGTTGTACATGTAAGCATACAAAAAATGCTCAAAGCATGAAGACATTGTACATTTTACTGATGTTCAACAAATTAACCTTTGACCTTCGGTGTTCTAACAGCAATTCTTCTGGCATTTAGTTTTCCAAAGTCATCAGCTCAGTTGAGCTGCATATACATGTATGTACATGTTCATAAGCCTTATCGCACATACTGTGTGGGTGATATTTTGCACAATGGTAGGGAAAAGGGGCAATGTTTGCTCCTTTACGGATTATAATTACCCCTATATGTACATGTACAAGGCACTATAGATGATGCAGCACCATGGGCATGATGATGGGTTAAATTGGAGCATGCTACAATGCATACTGATGCTACATGTATATACTACATGTACACACATGCCACAAACCATGCATGATGACACTGAAAATGAGCTTCCTTGCTCTATGCAATGAATTATGGTTATAAACTAAACTACATGCATGAATACTGGAAAGTGTAAAGGCCAGTTCATACTTGTAAAAGCAACACCAACAAATGGTTGTGAAAATATGTCACGTCATTATCATGAAATCTTTGTCCAGCAAGTATGAAGTATAAAGTAAGTATAAAGGGGCCTTAATGTTCCACAATATCGCATGATTCTGCTAGCTAGTAGTGTATTAGCTCATCAGCCATTCAGCATGCAGTCAGCATTTTGCATGCATGCTAAGCTGCACGTACACTTTTATTCAGAATTTATACACAACATGCGCAAGGCCTTGGATAGCCCAACTAGTGTGGCACGGATCACTCCCGATTTATCCTAAGGATCACGGTGCCACACTAGCGGGCTAGGCCTGGGACTGGCATGGCACGACTAGCAATACATGTAATGTATATAACGACAAGCATGACATGGTTTGATTTGATGATGATTTAACCAGTTAACAACGTGAACTCATGTACCATGTCATGTGTACCGGTAAGATTACTCACAGGATAAGCATCCTGGCAGAGCGAAGGAACAACTAGTATCCCCACCAGAGCAAAAGGGACCAGCAAACTCAACCAAACAGTCATTTCGCTGCAAAAGTGTACGCCTACTGTGTACATGCAGTTCACTTGTGTTGCACATACATGTATGCATTTATCAGCTAAGATAACAATCAGATCTGTCGATTCAGTTCTTGTCATGTGATCACATCAGATGATCTTCTCTTCTATGGACAAGTTTATTTGCCATGGAGTGGACGACTGTCAGAAATTTAAAACTCGCAGTGCAAAGTGAAACCATAGTGAAACTGGGTTCGCAAAAGCTGACAAACATTCAAAAGTTCCACAGAACCCTACCTTCAAAGGAACATTTACGGCTTCGACTGAAGTAACGATGGTGCAGTATCTACACGTGTAAAAATTTGCCTCTTGAGGCGGATCCACGGGGCATTCTATTTTCCCGCGCAGTGCATGGCGAATCCACGAACACAACTTGAATATTCCATGAATCGTCCAGGGAAGCCAGTTGACTACACCACGAGCTCTAGGCGACAACATCTCCTCCAGACGGATTTTGCTTTCATTTACGCAATAACAGATTAATTTGATCTAAATACACATAAAAAATACGTCTGTCGATTAGAAATGTATTGAAAATTCACCACCACCAAATTATCTCTTCACAACATGTGTGAACCTACTATAGGGTGCACCCCTATAAGTAAATTCCCGTAGACGCCAATGATAAATATCTACACTATAAACTATTTTTAAAAATACAACTTTCACAAGTGTCCAGGCTGGACAGGTGATGTTCGACATGTCCTCTTTTACTTTCCTTTCAATTTTAGCGTTTTTTTAATGAATTTTTGAGAAATATCTCCCTAAGCGGACCACCCCTAAAGTGAAGGAAATTTCATTGCCCGGAAAAGTAGTCATTTCCAAAATGCATCCCTCTGTAAAACGGCTAAATACTGCCATTTTCGGACTCGATTGCGTCTAAATTGCTCAGACCTGGAAGCCCCAAGTCCGGGCCAGAGGTTCAGTACAATATTTCTTCATTTCCCTGATTCCATGCCTCTCGGGACAACTTTAATCAATGAGTTCGCCGGACACATTGCTGGCGTAGTACTGGCGGTAGCACTTCTGAAAGCGCGCAGTACCACTGATCATAATGTTACTTGTTCTTCGGACAGCTGGTGTATCCGGTCACTATATAGGTCACTATATTCCGCATCCTGCAGTAAATGCCAGGGGAAAAAAAGAAGCTCTTTTTTCTGGCATTTGCTGTAGGCTTTCTTATTTTCTCGTTACTGCATTGTGACGATGTTTCATAATTTGTCTTCTGCTCTCTTTTAAGAATGCCAAATAATAATTATAAAGAAGGTTCTCTTTCTCTTGGCCTCTAGCTTTGGGGAAAAAGAGTTGTCACGATCGAATCACTAAATTTTGTGAGTCATTTTCATGTAGTGACTCGTGTCGTCAAACATCAGATATGTCAAATGTGCATTTATTTTCTGCATACATAACTGCCAGGCTCCAGCTATCAATATCCTTTAATATACTGACCCACGAAAGATCCCAAAGTCCACGTTTCTTGCCCCATGGGTTTCGGGGCCTTTGAAGAGAATCATCCTAGTAACGTTCGTCTACTTCACATTTTTCCAAAGAGAAATTAAAAGTCATTGATGCACAATATTCATCCAACTGTTCGAAATCTTAGTACAATATTTTCATAAAACTCAACAAGTTTGTTTGAAAAAAACAGATTAAAACGAAAAACATAATTTCATTGTGTGAAACACACCACTGAAACTTTAAGCCGCAATGTACATGTAGAATGGATTCCCTTCATTAAAGTTATTGTACTGAACGATCTGACCTGGAATTACAAGAGAAAACAATAATAAAAAATAAACAGATCAAGCCAATCAGTTTAAAAATGGAAAACAATTCAGTTTAATGGCTATACTGCTGCGGAAAAAACAGTGCTGATCGCAGGTTAATGACATCTTGGCCTAGCTGTAAGCTGGGACCAAAAACTGTGAAGGGTCTAAAGATATAAATTCAGTACTTCACAAGACTAGAGATAAAACGCACTTTATGCCCTAGTGCACACTATATACATATAGTCACAGGACGATTGGTGACATTTTGAAATGAAACTGGGTAGGAGCAATATTATCAGACAGTTCCAATACACATACTGTATTAATATAAACATGTGTCAAGCTACGTGTGCCATTACACTCACTTGAAGTATAGTCATCACTGACTGCAATGAATGAATTCCCACTACCTTTTAGTTTTTCACTGACAGCCCACCACATTTTGATTTAAAAAAGAGAGACCAAAACTGACAACTCTGCAGGAAATTCACAGCATGTGCCTAGCGTTTATCCACTTCACAATAATGATAAGACTGTTTCTCTAAATTACAGTGAGTTTGAAAATAAATGGAAACCGAGCTTAATTTGTTTTAAGTATCTTGGACATGGTTAAATCTTTTGGAAATTGGCAACTACCATTTATTAACCAATGATGTTCTCTTTCTTATGACACCAAGAAATCCAATTTACTGTCACAGATGACTGAGAACGATGCATTTCAATCAACCGTGTCAGAACTGGTCTTACACCAGATTCACCGCAGCCTAACTCCGACAATTTTCATACCTAAAAAAAGAAGAAAACCAGTATGTTCTTAACACAATTTTTATTCATTGAAATTTGGGGCTTAATAAATGGTGGTTGCCAATTTCCCAAAGATTTAACCATGTCCAAGAAATGAAGAAATTAATCTCGGTTCCGTTTTTTAAACACACTGTGTATTACTCCCCACCTAACAGGAAAGTCCAACATCAAAGTGAATTTTAAAGCCTCAACATGAGAGACTGAGAGACCAGAACGTAGGACAGCCTTGGTTGGTCTGGAGCTGTTTAACTACAACATAGATGACACAGCTGCCCTAAGTAAGACACGCTTTGCTGGTGAGGGCTAACTTCCATGCTTGGAAAGGAGTGCTTGGTAGACAAGGCATAGGCAAGTCTAACAGCAATGGAACACTACTCCTGAGCATATGTGCAGCCAACAGCCTCGTCATTACCAACACCGTGTTCGGGTTGCCAGAAAAGTTAAAAGCAACATGGATGCATCCTCGAACCAAACATTAGCACTTGATCGACTATGTAATTGTTCGCCAGAAAGATCTGAAAGATGGGAAGATCACTATAGTACTGAGAGATGCAGAGTGTTGGACTGATCAAAGTCTAGTTCGAGCAAAGCTACAGCTTGTGATTGCCAACAAGTGCCGGTCACAGTCAGCCAAGCTTCCTAGGAAGCTAAACACCGTGAAGGATAGGCTTGGATGCCTCAAACACACCGCCTCAAACACACCGTTCCAGTCGATACGAAAAGAACGTGGTCCGGCTTCAGAGACTGTGTGTATGAGACATCTCTTGAAGTTCTTGGCAAGCAGCAACGTCGCCTCTAAGACTGGTTTGACGAAAATGATACTACGATAGAAAGGCTCCTTGTTGAAAAGCATGCAGCTCACCAGAACTGTCTTAATGACCCAACCTCTATATCCAAGCGTGATACCTTTAAGAAGCTGCAGAAGTCTGTGCAATCAGAACTGAGGAACATGCAAGATACATGGTGGAAAGACAAGACCAAAGAATTACAAGGTTACGCTGACGCGCATGACATGAAGAACTTTTAAGGCTTTCTGAGGTCAGTGTATGGCCCTGTCTCAAATGGGTCCACCCCAATGTTAAGTGCTGACGGAGGGACATTTCTAACTGTCAGAGATCAAATACTGAAGCGTTGGGTTGAACACTTTGACGGAGTCCTCAATCGTATATCTCATATCACCCCAGAGGTCATCGACAACATCCCACAAGGACCTATGAAGGGGGAAATGTCAGCTCCTCCAACAGTATATGAGACAAAGAAAGCTGTCAAACAGATGTCAAGTGGAAAAGATCCTGGAGTAGATGGTATCCCTGCTGAAGTGTTCAAAGCGTGTCTGTTTTGGGCTATGTGGGAATCGGGAAAACTGCCTCAAGAGTTCAGAGATGCCACTCTAGTTCACCTGTATAAGCGGAAAGGAGCACGCTCAGTGTGCGACAACCATCGGGGCATTTCGCTCCTCTCTATTCCTGGTAAAATCCTGTCCCACATCATGTTGAACCGAATTATTCTGCGTATCTCAGAATCGTTTGTTCCTGAGAGCCAATGTGGATTCAGAAAGGGACCAGGAACTGCGGATATGATTTTCACCATCGGCCAGTTGCAAGAGAAATACCTGGAACAACATATGGGGCTGTACATGGCCTTCATTGACCTTACCAAGGCTTTCGACACATTAAAGCAGAGAGTGCCTATGGATAATACTATCTAGACTAGGCTGCCCACCAAAGTTCCTGGAGATGCTCCAACAGTTCCACACTGGTATGATGGCCGGGGTAGCTAACGACAGCTCGATGTCGGACCCTTTTTCGGTCTCTACTGGTGCCAAGCAGGGTTGCGTACTTGCACCAACCCTGTTTAGTATCCTGTTCGCTGTGTTGTGCGAGGCTTCAACTGGTCCGGATAGAGGAGTCCATTTACAACTTCGGACAGATGGGAAGTTATTTACTCTTCAGATTCAAAAGACGAAGATTCAAAGCCCAAACTAAACTGTTCAACGTACTTCAGGTAATTATAGACAGATTTGCAACAGTTTTCCAGTTATGGGCTTACCATCAGCCTTAAAGAGACGGAAGTGATGTTTCAACCACCTCCTGGCCATAACTATATCCCACTATCCATCACTCTCAGGGGCACAAAGCTCAATGCAGTGGAACAGTTCACTTATCTGGGTAGCACCCTAACTAGATCAGCAAATATCGATGCCGAAGTGTCCCGCTGCATCTCTAAGGCAAGTGGTGCATTTGGTAAGCTCAGTGTCCATAGAGCTACCGTTTTGACCTTCTTACGATATGCATGTGAAATATGGACAACATATGCACGTCATATTAAGTAGCTTGACCGTTTCCACCAGCGATGCCTTCGTGGAATCATGAGATAGAAATTTTCTATTTTTAATACTTTCGCCAGACTTTTGTTTTATGGAGATTCCAGAAAAGGATTCCCACTTCAGCTTCTCGTTCCAACCATGGATCGTGCATGCGAACACGTTTATAATCCATACGCTGCGTTGTGATATCCTCAAATCAGTGTAATGACGTGCGGATGGACTGTTCGAGCCTGGACACGATGGCGGGACTTGACCTTTTTCCCAGAATGCCATGTATGAATACATACGCTGCAGCGT